TTTAGTCACATTGTGACAATCTAACAGGACTTTCCCTACCTCCATGCGTCTCCATAGAAGTCCTCCGATTCCATCCAGGCACCCTTCATGCAAAACAGTTATTAAGTATGAAGCAGGCACTGTCCAAGGCTGGGGGACAGACCAGGGGGCAATTAAAGAAAGGACTTGAGGAGGAGGCCCCACCTGGCTGTCGAGGTGACTTTCAGGTTTCCGGTTGGCAGACTCCATCCCTATCACCGTCATCTACCTTGTGCAGAGCCCCAGAGAGGGGAAGAGCGGCCCCCTGAGCCCTAGATGGCAGCCACTGGAATGGCTGGGACACGCTACCAGGAACTCGCGCCGGAGTTGTGAAGGCTTAAATGTGAGGTGTCCCCTAAAGCCCATGCGTGAGACAAGGCAAGAGGGTTTAAAGGTGAAATGAGCCTTAACCCAATCAGTGGCTCCACCCAGTCAATAAGGATTAACTTGATGGAAACTGTAGGCAGGTGGCCTGTGGCTGGAGGAGGGGGGCCACGGGAGGTGTGCTTTGGGGGGTGTATATTTTGTCCCTGATAAGGGAGCATTCTCTCTCTCTCTCTCTCTCTCTCTCTCTCTCTCTCTCTCTCTCTCTCTTTCTCCCCCCTCCTGGTGCCATGTTCTCAGCTGCCTTCCTCGGCCACACACTTCTGCCCTGATCTGTGTCAGGTATTCCTAAGAACAGAGTAGGCTATCTGTGGACTGAGGCCTCTGAAACTGTGAGCCCCAAAATAAACGTTTCCCCTTCTTATTGTTCTTGTTTAAAACAAGAGCAGTTCACCCCCAAGTGTCGTGGTGAGCTCTGGAGACCCGGGAGGACTGACATGTGCCCCCGGCCCCAGGGAGCTCTCTGCCAGGTTGTGACAGCCACYAACAGTGGGCCATTGACACAGAACCCTTCCTTGCTCTTGACAAACCGATTCAATGGCTACTGCTAAATTTAACCCAGAATCACAGGAGGTTATTATTTAGTTACCTCTAGAGAAATTGGTTTTCTGTGACCAGGTTTCTGGGCAATGCCCACGCCCCTCCCCGGGCCCACCCAACACCACGGATCTACAGAGGAACCCGGGGTCTAATTTGTGGGAGCGCACGGCGACATTCCCAGCATACACTTCTCATCTATTTTTCCTTCTTCGTGGAAGTTGTTACATTTTCACACAATTCAGATGAAAGGGAGTAGAAAAGAGCTGAGATTTGTCTTTAATATCCAGGAACTTTGCCAAAATTGCCTTTTATTTTTAGCATAATTTGACATTATACCCTATTTTGAAAAGAAATGTTCTTATAATCAGAGAATATGGAACATTTCATGACCATTTCTAATAATATAAAAGACATTTTTTCAGCAGAAGTAAAAGAACTACAGTAATAGTTTTTATGCAAGAGGGGAAGGGAGAATGGGAAAGAGATTTCGCCTTGGCAGGAGGACCAGCAGTTCTAATAAGCCTATCACTTTCCCACTGCCTCAGTTGTCTTGGGAGCTCCCGGGAGGTCCCCAAGCCTGCAGGGGTCAGCTCTGACCTCCAGAACGTCCTCAGCTAACCCACGTTGGTAAAATTCCATTTGAGGCTGATTCAGGTAAAATTCCATTTGAAGTTCACTCACCTTGTGCAGATTGCTGCTTTGTTTTCAGTTCATGCTGGAGAGGTTACTGTATCTCTTCCCTATTTGTGACTCAGGTATTCACTGTCTGGTGCCTTTTGAAAAGATGTCCTTAATTTTTTTTAAGAAATTTTTTTACCTTTATTAATTTATTTTTATGGGACGCTGAGGCTYGAACCCAGTGTTTCACRGGTGCCAGGCAAGCGCTCTACCAGTGAGCCACAACCCCAGCCCCTGTCCTTAATTTTTAAGTAGCCAAATTGATCAATTACTTTCAGGATGGGTTACACTTTCTAAATCGTGAAAGTGTTTTTACAGAAATCCCCCCATGGGATTGTGCCCATGTGCTCTTGGGCAACAGAAGGCCCAATAGTGGAGGTGCTTCCCGGGTCACGTGATAGGTCGACGTTTTGGTGGAGGCAGATAGAGAATCAAGGTCTGGTGGTGGGGAGGCAGGGTCCTTCCCACTCCAGAAGTGCTATCTAAGACCACTTGCTGGAGACACTGGGCAGATCCTCCCTCCAACAGGAGCCCAGGAGAGACTGGCTCAGAAGCCCCTGGGCCCACGCAGGTTGCTGAGTCCCTTTGGGGTAGAGGAGGAGGTGGCAGGAAGAGAGTAGCACACATGCCCTCTGTGGGGGCCCTTTTCATGGTGGCCTCTGCTGAGTGTGCATGGACAGGAGAGGCAGGTACAGAAGCAAGACTGTGGCTTCTGGTCGCCCACCTGGGTTTGAATCCAGATGCAGCCCTCACACTGGCCACATGGTCTGTGAGAGAAGGTGCCAGAGCCCTGCCTCACAGGGGCAGTGGGGGAGCCCTGTGGGACCCCAGCACCCTTTGGCTGCCCCCCCATGTATGCCAAAGAGGGCGTGGGGGTAGAACCCACAGAGAGCGAGAGCCACCAGCCAGGCTGACCCGGCCCCAGCTGTCCACTCACTCCTCTGTGGCCTTGGACATGTCTCAACAGCACCCTGTAATCCCCAATTTCATCTTTCGTAAAAAGGAAATGAAGATAGCTTTGTCCAGCGTGGCCATGGGGATCACACCATGTAATGTCTGTAATATCGCTGGCGCGCAGTAGGTGCTTAAAAGTGCATTTCTCTTCTCGGATCATGTGCAATCACTACTTGCAGCAGTACTGGGCTGTTGCCTGATCATGGGCACAAAATTATTTCTAGCAAACAGATACCAACAAATGTCCGTCATCTGCCAGATCTTGGTGACTTGCAGCTCCTAGCTGGGAAGGCTTGGGGTCAGCCCCATAGTGAATCTTGCTCCTTCTGTCCACATCGCCCTTCCTGTCCTGCCCAGCCCTGGCCCTGACCTTCTCTCTCACCTCCAGGCTTGCAGGAGCTAAAGGCTGTGGTTTCTTTCTCCCGCTGTCGGTGGCCAGGCCTCTGCATGTCTTCTCACGTGGCCTTCCTTTCCAAGCATTGAGCACAGTGTGGCAAACACAGGCTCCGGGGTCAGGTGGCCAGATTGAAATATCAATTTTGCTGCACAGTGTCCCACCTCCCACCCCCTCCCCCAGAAAAACCTAGACCAATGTCTTCAGCCCTCTTAGGGTCCCCATCTGTAAAATAGCACCTGCACCCCAGGGTTGGGCGGAAGGTTGGGGGCCAGCAAGGCCCCGCTCGCAAGCCGTCCCAGACCCCGGCTGCCCTGCACCAGCCTCGCCCTCTGCTCTCAGCCAGACCCTGGCTTCCCCACATCTTCACCCTGGAGGCTGCTGAGGCGGGGACAAGCGTCCTTTCCTTCCCAGGGTGGCTGCAACAGTCGTGGGTTCTTGACGAAATCCTGGGAAACAATGACCTGAGCAATGCCCATCCGGTGTCTCGGGAAATGAAGTCCAACAGGCAACAACTCTGTAGGTGGCAGAGACGCCTCACACATCCCCGCGGGTGGCCTGGGAGCCCGTCTGAATCCAGTCCATTGTGAATTCAGTAAATGTCTACCGAGGCTCTGCTGTGCTGTCAATCACCCTTGGGATATCAGAAAATGTCGGAGCCTGCCCTCAGGTAGCTTGCCTCCTGTGGGGAGAGGGCTGATGAACAGGGGGTTCCCTACGATAGTGCCAAGGAGGGGTGAGTGCCGGGAGAACAGTGGACCCGAGCTGGGAGGGGCCCTTTAGACATGGGAGCCGGAGATGAAAGGAAAGTGAGAAAGCAGGAGGAGCAGCTGTCGCAAAGAGTATTCTGAGAAGAGGGCCGGCAAGGGCAGAGAGCCTGACGCCTAAGGAAAATCACAAGGGCCAGGAGAAAGCAAGAAGAGGGAGGTCAGAGAAGGAGGGGGCTCAGGGTGAGTAGGCCTGGAGGCCATGGCAAGAACTTTGGCTTGACACAGAGTGACTTAGGACATCATGGTGGGTTTTGAATGGAAGAGTGAGAAGGACTGGCTGGCCTCAAATGTGCAATCCTCCTGCCTCAGCCTCCAAGGCACCCAGAGGGCAGGTGTACGCCACCACACCCAGCACCATTATGCTCATCTTACAACCATGGGAACGGAGGGGAAGAGTCAGACTCTTTGTCTGGTGGATCTGGAATGCAAGCTAGAGGTCAAGCTCTTCAGCATCATGCTAGGCTCCGACGAGAAATGTTTTTCAAATCAAAAGAACTAAATGAAATGGACTAAACTTCAGACATTGCCTTCTGTGATGCATCCTAAGACAGTGTCACTTTTCTTTGGCTCAGTAGATAGTGTGGCATGAAAAAGTCACATCCCTGACACCTAGAACCAGAAAGTCTTTCACTGCACAGACACCAGGAGCCACAGAGGTGACTGTGTCACTGTAAAACTCAAGGTCTAATTCGATCAGTAATTAGGACACATAAGATATGGCTGCCTCCAATATTTCTCACTCCTGGTCTCCCCTATTTGTGCAAGACTGTCAGCATACTAGTCAGTGTGTTAGACCTTTTTGCATATTAGAAAAAAATGATATTTTTCTTGGCCTAAACTATGATCCATATTTTTCTTATGATCTGAGACATTTCTCTTCATGTTTGGCTTACCTGTGTCTCATGTGCATAGCAGAAGAGGAGAGAGAATGTGAAAACGGCAACTATAAATTTAAGATAATATTCAGCATTACATTTTGCTTTTGTGGTGATTCATTTTCAAATGCCTAATTTGCAAAAAGTAAATAAAGCCTGACATTTCCTCATCTTTACCAGAGCAGGGAGCTGGTTTATTCATGCTTCCTTTGGGAACACAGCAACACAGCGCCTTGCCTCACAGGGTCAGCTTCGCATGCAGTGTGCTGTCCAGGAATCCTGACATTTGAGTGGGAGTCAGGAAATGGAGCGTCCTCCCAGAGACGGTGTTACAGCCACAGAGTTCACTGATAGCTCATCTGATCTTTTCCCTCTGTCTTTCCACAGAGAAGTCTGGACACCTACTGTTTCCTAGTCTTTGCTGCAATATGTGTCATAGGTGCCCTCTACTTCTATTTTGTTCTGCCTGAGACTAAGAACAGAACCCATGCAGAAATCAGCCAGGAATTTGCCAAGAGAAACAAGGCGAGTCCACCAGAGGAGGCAGGGGACCCGGCCGTGGCTGAGAAGGCAAACGGAGGGCCAGGACCGGACTCCTCCTCCACACTGGACCATGGTGTCAAAGACAGAGCTGTCTAAGTGGACCCCCCCCCATTTCAGGAAAACGTACACCTCCACATCTGGAGGGCTGGCACCTGGCTGAAGCCGTGCACCTCCTACATGACAAGAATCAGCCTGTGATCCTCCAGTGCGACACCCTGTCTTCACAGCTGAACCGCTCAGACTCTTGAAGTCATCTCATGGTTTGGAAGACCCAACCTTCTTCTCACAGCTTAGTGGCCTGCCTTCTTCCTGACTTAGCCCAGTATCGGAAATGGGGAAAATGGTATCAAAATTCCATCTCAAAAGAAAAACATCCAGTCTGATGAAGGACTCGTTGGAGCAGAAGTCACAGGCTGAGGTCCTACTCCCCGCTCCCTCAAGTAGCCTTGCCCTGCCCTCTGCCTGGATCCTGGAGCTTGGTGATCCTTGGCTTTGGTCCTGAATGTAGTCTTTCAGCATTCACGGCAACTCTTTGTGCCTCCTAACCAACGCCTGTCACCAACCTTTGGCTCTGCCTGTGGGCCTCAGACTTAGGAGCGCCTAACCCCAAGGCACCACCCTGAAGCATCTGCCTCTCCCAGACTGTTTCCCTGGGCTCAAGACTGCCAGGTCTGAGGCTGTCTGAGGCTGGGATTGTTACAGGGGCATAAAGAAGGTCAACGTGAGGAAGGCCCGGAGAAGCAGCGGTAAGAAAGCACTTCCCAGTACCTGGGGCAGAGACTAACTCTGTTCAATTAAAACACAGCATTGAGAATGATTCTGAGCCTTGACCTCAGCTGATGGGAAACAACACTGTGGCTGACAGATGGCATCCAGTTCAGGTGCAGGAGTGAGACATCAGCTCCTGTGGCCGTGCTGGCCAAGTCTAAAGGGATTCATCTGAAGATATACTGAGCTGCCTTGAAAAACAGCCCGCCCACCATCACTCCAGGTGCTCAACTAAGGCTGCGTGGAGACTCGGCTGCTGTTAAGGAAATCTAAGTGACAGTTTTAGAAAGGTATTTGGAGTAGACATGCCTGTGTGCCCTTCCAACGTGCCAGGGTCGTGTAGCTGCAACAACCCACAGCTCATCCTTGTCACACTGACCTTATGATTTGGCTGACTCCATATGCTCACCTCCAAAATGAACCAAAGTGCAAATGACAGATTTCATAAGTGACAGTGTTCTTGAATTAGACCCATATGTTTGGATTTAGAGTGTCACAGCATGTCTGGGGCCAGAGAAGAAAGACTCTGGATCTAGCAGCTCCACCAAGCCCTCCATCTCCTCTGACATTCACAACAAAGGAAGCGTCAGCCAAAACCTGAGTTCTGATCGTTGTTCCCCATTCTTGCACCTGGTCCTCTCCTTTGGCTGATTGCTGACTGGCTGGATAATTTGGGCAGCATTTGTCAACGTGGAGAGGAAGTGAAGTGTGGGTACAAAAAGCATGTGAGACTAAACAGAGCCAAATAAAGTGTCAACTAGGAATCTTTACTTTAGCCTGTTGTCACTCCCTTGGAGACCTGGGACAGTCAATAAATATCATCAGTCACCTACCATGCACCAGGCACTAGCTGGGCACTGATGCTGCGTATGCAAGGTAATGCCCTGCCCACACCTGCACATGCTCATGTCTGACAAAGAAGGAGAAGAATCAAAGGATTGTTAGTAAGGTACCCTCAAGACTTGGGGAGAGGACAATGATATAGGAACATGTGACAGGAGTGGTTGGGGTGACAGAAAATCAAAAAACCTTCCAAAATAAGCAACCAAAATAAAAGAAGGTGACAGAAGAGGAAATTTTCTTACAGGATGTTACATTTGAAAAGATAGTAGAGCCACATTAAGAATTTTTAAAATAAAACAGTAGGACACACATCATCTCCTGTGCTTCATTCTCCCTAACACCACCATTTTAATTTCCATACGAGCATGTCCATTTTGTCTACTGTTTACCCAGTTTCAATCACAGGATACATAAGATACAACTGCAATCGTCCTTCTCTGATCTTCTATTTTTTCCACTTGATATTAAATCAAAGTGCATCATCTCAATTCCAAAGCCTTGCTCATGATCTAGTTTATCCACAGCTGTGACCTTTTTTAATAGTTGTTTTTCAGACACTGAAAGATAATGCAGAGTGATGAGTCAGAGAAATAGACATTTCTGGGAGCTTCACCCCACAGGCTTTGGTGCTTTGCTGAAAGGCACGAACATTTACAGCACCCTGAATGTGTGCACAGACCCAGAAAGAATCTCTAGTCAAATTGACAGGTCCCCTTTCCTAAATCCTGCCCAAGTGTTAAGGCTTAGGTCCTTGTCTTTCTGTTTTACCTCTTCCCTGTATTCAAGCCATGGGGGCTGGCATTTCTTCCTTTTAGGTGGCTGAAAGAAAAGTAAGTCTTTCAGCTACTGGCTCTGGCTCAGATGAAGTAAGCCCACGCCACCCCACTTCTCTCACTTGTTAGAACTAAAAACCCTGGACAGAACCATAATTCAAACAGGAGCACTCTTAAAAAAACTGTAGCAAGCAAACGGAGGAGGGAGATCAAAACCAAAGCACAGCTAACGTGGCCGGGAGCTCTCTGCAATTCCCCTCCCGTGTTTCCTGGCTCACGCTCCAGGGCAGGCCAGTTCCCAGAACTGCACAATCAGCATGGACAGCAGATGCTCCAGGAGAAACCTTCCCTGTGTCCCTGTTCAGAGTGAAGCAAGAGATGAATTTATGGAAGAAAAATATGGACCGAGGCTAAATTGCTAATACGGTGGCAGCTCTGGCGACCACCAACCCACCCAAAGAAAATCCTTTTTTTTCTCTCTGATTCGAGGACCTAGAAGAATGGGCCTCTGTGGGCCAAACAGGGTGGGGAATGCATGTTACTTTCCTCTCTGTTGTTTCCTATTGATGCTTCAGCCTGACACAGACAACAAGGAGGACGAAACCTTGAGTGTCAAGCTGAAAGACCAGGAGAAGTGAGAACTGGGAAATGGAGAGGGAAGGGAAAATCGTGGTGAGGAGAGAATAAAGGGAGTCCCTGAATCTATGTCAAAATCCTGGGCTCATCTGTAAAACCCACATGCCTAAAAATTAACTGCAAGTAATATGTCAAAACCTTTGCGAATCAAAATACATCACAGACACTTTCACAGTTTCAGACCCCCAGGTGGTACCCACACAGAGCAGACCCAAATAGTTCTACCAGTACATCCAAAATTAAACTGAAATTGGACTCACAGTCCACAGAACGTGGGTGAGGACTTTCAGTCTAAAGATAATTAGCAAAACAAGTTTGCCTGTTTTAAAATGAAGTTGTCCAGAAGGTTTTAATAGCACCTCATGTATAACACTCAAAATATCCAAAATATAATCCAAAATTACTAGACGTAAGATAATCTAGAAAAACCTCACCAAGTCTCAGAGTAAATATCAACAGGTGCCAACCCCAAAATGACTCAGACACACTAACTACTCTAAAGTTACTATTATAACCATGTTCTGTGAATTAAGGGAAAACAACTCTGGAAATTAATAGAAAAAAATTAGAAGTTCTCATCAAAGAAATAAAAGTATATTTAAAGAAATAATAATTGAAGACTACCCAAATGTGGTGAAAGACATTAATTTACAGATTCTAGAAGGTCAGTGAACTCTAAAGAGAACAGACTCAAAGAAAATCAGCCTCAGACACATCATAATCAAGTTGATGAAAACCAAGTTTAAAGAAAAAATATCAAGAAGGTGAAAATCAGCACATTACATACAGTGACAAAATGATTTGTATGATTATAAACTTCACATTAGAAACTGGCCAGGTGATACTGGAACAATATTTCAATGTTGTTTAAATGCTGAGAAAAAGAACTATTAATCTAGTTTAAATTTTTAAAATACCCATCTCTATGCTCTTTCTAATAAGCCCACATTAAATTCAGTGTAGATAGGTTTAAAGTAAGAGTAAGAAAAATATTTAGCAGGCAAACATGAATAAAGGAAAACCAGCAGGAGTGCTTGAGTTTAGAAAAAGTAGACTTTGGAACAAGGAGAATTGCCAGTCAAAATGAGGGAAATGACGGGGTTAGAAATGGGTCAAAGCACAAAAGACATAAAAAGTTTAATTGTGCATAGACTCCAAAGCAAACTTCAAAATACATGAAACAAAAGAAGATAGAACAGAAAGAAAAACTAAACCAAAATTTGAAGACGTCAGTGGTCTCTCTTTGTGATCAATAGAACAAGCAGGAGAAGCAAGGCCATAAAGGATTCAAGCAACACTATGAAACAGCTTTATCTGATTGACATTTGTAGAACACTCCAAATAACAACAGTGAAATATAGATAATAGTTCCATTTCCATTTGAAGAAACTGAATTCATAGCTAAAATTTCCCAACAAAGAAAATTCCAGGTCCAAATGTTGTTACTGGAAAATCTTTCCAAATACTGAAGGAAGAAATCATACTAATTCTACATCTCCTCCAGACAAGACAAAAGGGTGAAATGCTCCCTTTCACTTTATAAAACTAGCACAAACCTGATGCCAAAATCAGACCAAAAAGAAAGCAGTATGAGAAAATAAAAGCCATATCCCCATCATAAGCACAGGCACAAAATTTATCATTGAAATATCAGCAAATTGAATCAACCACATAAAAAGAATAAAACAATGGTCCCCCCTTCTCCATTTAGGATGTGTTCCAAGACCCCTGGGGGATGCCTGAAGCCACAGATGGTACTGAATCCTATATACTATATGAGTACTGAATCCTTTATACTGTTTTTTATACCATACATACAAAGATTTAATGCCTTCCATCTCAGCTAAGCTCTCATCATGCACTGTGGCTGTAACTTTTGCACTTTGAGGTACAACAGAATCCTAGCATGAATTTCTCTTGTTCACAATTTAACAGAAGAATTGGTTCTTACTGTGCATCTTAGCAACCTCAGCATATGATTTTTTCTTCCTTATCAAATCAAACACTTTTCCATTTTCATTTGAAGGAAGGGCTTTATGGCTGCTCTTTGGCATATCCAAGTTGTCAGCAACGTGACTCTTGCACTTTGGTACATAAAATAGGGGTTATTTGAGCACAAGGATGGTGACACCATGACCACGGGCCTGATGGCTGGGGGCTACAAGGTGGCTCAACCATGGGTCGCATAGAGAGCATGCTGCAGCACGGACGAGGGGGTGATTCAGATCCCAGGGAAGATACAGAGAATGGTGTGAGGTTTCTTCGTGCACTCAGAAGGCAAGTAGCTTGAAACTCACACTTTTTTCTGGAATTGTCCATTGAATATTTTTGGACTGCAGTTGATCGTGAGAAACTGAAACCACAGAAATTGAACGTGTAGGGTAAAAAACCTCAGATAAGGGGTGACTATGCATACACAGCTTTAGATTCATATATCTTACCTGATTAAAAAAATCTGAACTAGAAAATAGTCTTTGATTTTAGAGGAGAAGTAAAAATGGTTAGAGAAAAGAAGTTTCTGTTAGTAGAAACAGCAAGAAGTAAGACATGGTGTCAGATGGAAATGAAAGGCTTGCAAAGAATGTCTCAGGACAGATAGATATCCATGGTCCAGGCTCATCCAGGGAGTACAGACACTAGAGGGACCTCCAGATACATGGCCTCTGACAACGAGGTGACAAAACAACCCACAATCCACAACCCCAGCTGAGTGTTCAGTTTGGTAAACTTTACACACAATGCAGCAGTCACTCAAAATAGTGCCTAGCAAGTAGTCATGGGTTAGTCCAAGAAAGTGACACGATTGCCCTCCAATTTCCAGTAAGCAAGTAGGGAGAGCAAAGCCAGCAGTTGGCCAGACTTGGCTTCTGGCAGACGGGATTGGCTGCTACTCTTGCAGACCTGGTTGGTGTCATCAACTGTCCCCACAGCAACTGGGGAGCTGAGATTATCTTGAGAAGCAGAGGATTTCGTGGACCAAAAATCTCCCTGTGTTCTAGTGTTTGATGAGACTGAAAGTGAGATGTGTTTTCCCTATAAAGTCCTCCCACTTAGGAAAGGGCACTCGTTTCCCATCATTTACAGTAAGGAGGACACGTGTTACAGGGCACTCATGTGAGTGCGTGTTAAGCACGCGGAACATTGCTTTCATATTACTGTGGCATCTGCCTGCTCTGGGCCTACTTGGAAAAGTAGGTGTCAGAGGCCTTGCCTGACTCTACACTGTCCCCAGCCTACATGGTACCTGACTCATTGCAGGTGCACAACAAAAACTGGTTGAATAAATTAATAATGAACAGATAGATCACAGGCAGAACAACMAACACCCAAGACATCCAGGGCAAATCCTCAGAAGCTGCAAGTATGTTGCCTCAYGTGGCAAAGGGAACTTTGCCCTTAAGCAAAGGATCTTGAGTTGGGACGTTAGCATGGATCATCCGGGCAAACCCAATGTCATCACAAGTCCTTATAAAGAGGGGTGCAGAAGGTCTAATTCAGAGAAGGTGATGAGCCAGAGGGGGATAGAGAGATCTGCAGACCCTGGACTGCTGGCCTGGAGGGTGGAGGGAGGGTCATGAGAGGAGAACGGCAAGTGGCATCCACAGAATGGAAAGGGCAAGGGGCCAGTTCCTTCCGAGGACCTCAGGAGGACTGCGGTCAGCCAGCATCTCCCCAGAAGTGTAAGATGATGTGTGTCGTTCTAGACCACCAAGAGAGGGTGGTTTGTTAATTTTTATTTTTTAACTTTTTGTTTTGAAGTACTTTCAAACCTATGGAAAACTCATAAAGATAAGACAAAAAATCATCAGATTTCCCAATATTTTTACATTTTAYTTTTTTCAATTTTTATCATAATATAATTGAC